TTGTAGCATACTTATGTGTTGGCAACAGATGTGTGAAGGAATTAAAGCAATTTGCCACCTTCGCTGTTTCGTGGCTACTCATTATCGATAGTGGAGTACTATGTTAGACTATCTAACAGGCTTATGGCCCTATACCCCACCTGTTTTTGCTGTGCAGAGCTTTCTGTGGTTATGCTTATACTCTTCAATTTTTGAGCAAATAGTGCTTTTGCCTTTGTCCTTTTCTAAGTCTCTGTACTCTGTTCTTCACCATTGGATTCATTTAGTGCTGCATTATCTGCTGTTTTGCTTTAAATCTTTTTAGCAGCTGGTATCTGAGAATTTATATTATTAATATCTCCGTAGTCCTCCAGGGTTCGTACTTTGTTTAATCCTAACCTCTTTAACTGGTGCAATATTGTCAAGGATGGTAGTGCACATTGTAGAATTTTTCCCAGGTCGTTTACGTTCGTTGCAATTGTTAACTCTGGTCCAGTTCCCACATTGTGTAGTCTAATTACCGTGTTTCTTTACTGTAGTTTCTAGTTGACCTCATTTTTATTGTCCGTGTCGGCCTATTCTATCCCTAGTGCTTTCCTGGAGCGTAATGATGAAATTGATCACCTAAGACTGTGGTTCATGACGCTGACGGATTAATGTTTCAGCACGGTTACAAAGTATGTGGTCAATTAGGGTGGCTGAGAACTTGATGATCGGGTTGGTGTATAAAATTCGTTGAGTGTAACTATTAAACCTAGGATTTGCTTATACTTGTGCATAGCGTTATTTTGCTGCTGGAAAAAGATCATTGAAGTCGCCAGTATTAATGGTCTCGCTATGGTTTTCAAGTGGACAACTATCTGGAAAGTCTTCTAAGAAACTGGTCCTGGGGGGGAGGGCGGTACTTAGTTCTACTAAGAAGGTTTGGTCTTGGGGAAGCAGCACTTCAAACCTAGAATCTCAGTGTATGTTATTAAATCAGGTCTTGGGTGGTAAGCTAAGTCATTTACTCATGGAAGGCGCACATACCCCACCCACCCTTTCTGATTCCTATCTAAGCGTTTTATATTGTAACCTTCTATTTTGACCCGTCGGGTCAGTCCGTTCATCAACCAGGATTCAGTGATGGTTATAAATACCGCCCTACTTTTGTTAGTTGAATCCTAATCTCTGACGATGTAGGATGAAGTGATCTTGTGTTGACATGAATAAATTGAGGCCTGTTTTCATAAAACAATTATAATCATCAAATATTTAGGCAATGGGTAGTTGTATTAAATTTAGGTATCACTCTCATCCTTGCTAAAGTAACTGTGCCTAGTGCATTGGTTACACACAAAATGAATTCTGGCACCTTGCTATAATTGTACATACATCATCATGCACCCCCCTTACACATTAAACATAAGGTGCCTTCTTTGTTTTTCATGTGTACTTTAGTACAGTGTATGCAAACTTGTTTGTAGGTTTGAGAAATACTGGTGTATTGTCTCACATTGCCCTATGTATGCATTACTATGGAGTTAAGGTTCTCGTTCTCGCTAGTAGACCGTTCATTTTCACTGTTCATTCTATTGTTTGCTTTGCCTCTGCACAATCGTTTGCGGTCCTGGATTAATTTGGATAACACCACTTAAGAGCCGGCTACCAACAAGAGCTGTGTGCACTGTTTCTGTTTGGGGTATGCGGTGGTGTTGCATACCTTGCGGAGATAGTGACATTTACTTTTCTGGTAGGTGGCAACTGTGGGCTTTTACTGTTTCAGGGCATTGTTCTTCCAATACCTTTTCCCGTCCCATGACTGATTTCTTTTTCTGGAATTGAAGCGAAAGTAAATATAATTATGGCAGCTGAGTACCCCCTAATGCCTTCCACTTTCACCGTTTTGCACTTTTACTCATATACAATAATATTTATTTTCTTTTCCCGTCACCTAGTACACCTAGATTGCTTTAGCAATACACTGAAATTACTAGTAAATTGTCTTCTTCAAAACCCTTTTTTTTTTCTTTTCCCAACTTGCTCACTTTTCCTTCACTTCCCAAACCCCTTTCGTTAACCCTTATTCCACACTCCCCTTTCCCACTCACTTCACAGTCCGGTTCACCTATTAACTTCTAACTCCTTTCCATTCTGGTAGACCAGCGGTATTAATCAAATGGTTTTATCCTTCCAAATCCCCCTCAATTCCATTTATCGGGGGTTGTGTGGTGTTGTTGATTCCTGACCTGGTCTGCTGACTCGGCCATTTTTAAAACACTGAGGGAAGTAAACGCCACCTACAACCTGACTTTCCTTGAGTTTATAGATATATTTGGCATTTTCTGCTATGATTCTCTCACTGTACACTGGTCAGCTGAATATAGGTCAGCTACTAAAACATTAACCTTGACTGTTTACCTATTCACTTCTTTCCCATGACTTCTTTCCCATAGAGGCTGAAGGTTTGGGAAACCTGAACAAGTGTTTGTGATGAAACAGGCTTGTTTTGGAAGAAAATGCCAAACAGGACCTACATTACTCAGGAGGAAAAGGCACTCCCAGGATATAAGCCTATGAAACATAGGCTTACTGTTTTGTTGTGTGGTAATGCTAGTGGTGACTGCAAAGTGAAACCTTTATTGGTGTATCACTCTGAAACTCCCAGAGTATTCAGGAAAAACAATGTCTTTAAGGCTAATGTGTGTGTGATGTGGAGGGCAAACAGTAAGGCATGGGTCACTAGGGACTTTTTCTATGACTGGTTTCACCATGTGTTTGCCCCCACTGTGAAAAATTACCTCCTGGAAAATAAATTGAACCTTAAGTGCCTCCTGGTATTAGACAATGCTCCTGGTCATCCTTCAAACTTGGCAGAGTGAATTTCTGGGGATATGAGCTTCATCAAGGTCAAGTTTTTGCCTCCTAATACCACTCCTCTCCTGCAGCCCATGGACCAGCAGGCCATTTCCCAAAATTCAAAAAACTCTACACAAAAGTTATGTTTCAAAAGTGCTTTGAAGTGACCTCAGACACTTGATTGACCCTAAGAGAGTTTTGGAAAGATCACTTTAGTATCCTCAGTTGTGTAAACCTTATAGGTAAGGCTTGGGAGGGAGTGACTAAGAGGACCTTGAACTCTGCTTGGAGGAAATTGTGGCCAGAATGTGTAGAAAAGAGGGATTTTGAAGGGTTTGGGGCTAACCTGAGAAGCCTATGCCAGTTGTGGAATTCCTTGGGGTTGGAGGTTAGTGGGGAGGATGTGGAAGACTTGGTGGAGGAGGACGATGAAGAACTAACCACTGATGAGCTGCAAGAGCATCTGCAACAGCAAGAGGCCAGACCTGAGGAAACTGCTTCAGAGGAGGGGAGAGAGAAATTGAAGAAGTTGCCTACTTCAAAGATTAAGAAATGTGCAAAGTGGGTTGAAGCCCAAACCTTTATGGATGAAAATCACCTTAACACAGCTATTGCAAGCCATGCTGGTGACTATTACAATGACAATGCTGTGGCCCATTTTAGGCAAATCTTAAAGGAACACGAGGTACAGGCCTCTATGGACAGATTTGTGCGACAGAGGTCCAGTGACTCTCAAGCTGGTCCTAGTGGCATTAAAAGAAGAAGGGAAGTAACCCCGGAAAAGGACTAGCTACCTCAAGTCCTCATGGAAGGGGATTCCACTTCCAAACAATAACAACTTCCACCATCTCCCCTCCTCCCATCCCATCAATCATCACCAGATCTTCAATAAAGGTAAGTGTCATGTATTCTTTATTTAGTACAGTAGTAATTGTGCATGTCGTCTTCTTTTTGTGTGTAGGAAAATGTATATTTCATGTGGTAATTTTTTTTTTTTTTCATACTTTGGGGTGTCAGGAATGGATTAATTTGATTTCCACTGTTTCTTAAGGGGAAATAAATTCAGCTAACAATAATTTTGTTTTAACGATGAGCTCTCAGGAACGGATTAATATCATTAGCTGAGGGTCCACTGTATTTTCATTATTAGTAGTACCTAAGCATTAGTATATTATTATTAATTTAGGGACCTGGAGCACAGCTTCAATTTCCTAGATCTAGAGCCCCTCACCACATACGTATGTACTACTATTACTACTACTACTACTACTAATAGTAATAATAAGAATCATTATTATTATAACAATAATACAATATAGTAATAATAATAATAATAACAGTAAGGAGAAACTTCAAAAGGCTGCCAGTAATTGGCAAACCACCATCAGCAAAACACTGGTAACCACTACTAGTACACTTTTCACCTGTCTAGACTTGTGTGAAGTCTTAAGTAGGTATTTCTGCCCGAAATGCCTCGGCATGATTGTGGCGTTCTTTGCTCCAATCATATTATGATATGTAAACACACACTGTAACCTTTGCAAAGAAATATATTTTTTTCTTTTTTTTCAACAAGTCGGCAGTCTCCCACCGAGGCAGGGTGACCCAAAAAAGAAAGAAAATCCCCAAAAAGAAAATACTTTCATTATCATTCAACACTTTCAACACACTCGCACATTATCACTGTTTTTGCAGAGGTGCTCAGAATACAACAGTTTAGAAGCTATACACATATAAAGATACACAACATATCCCTCCAAACTGCCAATATCCCAAACCCCTCCTTTAAAGTGCAGGCATTGTACTTCCCATTTCCAGGACTCAAGTCCGACTATATGAAAATAACCGGTTTCCCTGAATCCCTTCAGGGAAGTTCGCATCCTGAAATTTTTTTCGTATCCTAAAGCAAAATATCGACCAAACGATGGTTCGTATCCTGAAACAGCCTGACAGTGTTACTAAAACAATTACAGATGATGTTATGAGTTACTACTGCCTGAGCACATCTGGTGGCTAACCAGTGAACAGTTTTATTTAATTTTCCTATAGTTTTTGACAGTTTATTTTTAAAAAATTATCTATTGCAAAATGTGTCCTGACCTACATAGTTTTAGATTAGTAGTGTTTGATTATATAAATAAAACAAAGTAATATCTATCACTATCATTTATCACTTTGCTTACCATCCCAGTGTGTTAGAAGCTGTTCTACCATTTGCAAACGATCCATGGAGAGAGTAGCAACAAGTGTCACATCATAACCATCTGTCGTAGGATCATATTCATGGTCGAGGAAGAACAAGTGTGTGCGGTAATTAGTCTGACGAGCACGACGAAACTCATAGCATTCATCTTCTTCACTTAACTGTGAATAAAATGGAATTTTCACTTATTTTTTCACAGTGGTTGTTCTGCATATTGCAAAATGGAAAAAAATATAATTTTGTTGAGTTACTGTATTTTCAATCATAATGATCATCCACTGGGTGAGGAATCTAAAGAGTATAATAACCTTTGTGATATGTCAAGGTATTTTATTAATGAAAATAAGATACCAGATATTTTAAGAACATATCCTAAATTTCTTGTAACAGTAGTAGGTTGGTAGACAGCAACCACCCAGGGAGGTACTACCATCCTGCCAAGTGAGTGTAAAACAAAAGCCTGTAATTGTTTATATGATGGTAGGAGTGCTGGTGTCTTTTTTCTGTCTCACAAACATGCAAGATTTCAGGTATGGCTTGCTACTTCTATTTACAATAAGGTCACACTACACATACATGTACATGTTTATGTATACACACTCATCTGAATTTTCTTTGATTGTTCTTATTGCTTTTCCTTTTATATCCATGGGGAAGTGGAATAAGATTCTTTCCTCCGTAAGCCATGCGTGTTGTAAAAGTCAACTAAAATGCCAAGAACAATGGGCTAGTAACCCTCTTTTCCGTACAGCCTACTATAAAGAAAAAGAAGAAAACTGTCAGAGTGGGATGCTTGAATGTGCGTGGATGCTGTGTGAATGATAAGAAAGAGATGAATGTGGATGTTATGAATGAGAAGAAGCTGCATGTCCTGGCTTTAAGTGAAACAAAGCTGAAGGGGGTGGGAGAGTTTCAGTGGGGAGAAATAACGAGTTTCAAATAGAGCTAGAGCTAAAGAAGGCGTAGCAACAATGTTGAAGGATAAATTATGGCAGGAAAAGAGGGAATATAAATTTATAAATTCAAAGATCATGTGGAGTAAAATAAGGGCTGGATGTGAGAAGTGGGTTATAGTAAGCATTTATGCACCTGGAGAAGAGAGAAGTGTAGAGGAGAGAGAGAGAGAGAGGGATTTTGGGAAATGTTGAGTGCATGGGAAGTTTTGAACCAAGTGAGAGAGTACTTGTGATTGGGGATCTCAATGCTAAAGTGGATAAAAATGTTGTGGAGGGAGTAGTAGGTAAATTTGGGGTGCCAGGGGTAAATGATAATGAAGAGCCTTTAATTGAGCTATGTGTAGAAAGAGGTTTAGTAATAAGTAATACATATTTTATGAAAAAGAGGATAAATAAGTATACAAGGTATGATATAGCATGTAATGAAAGTAGTTTGTTAGATTATGTATTGGTGGATAAAAGGTTGATAAGAAGGCTTCAGGATGTACATGTTTATAGAGGGGCAACTGATATATCGGATCATTATTTAATAGCTACAGTTAGAGTAATGGTAGATGGGACAAAAGAAAAATGGCAACAGCAAGTAAAAAGAGAGGGTAAAGTGTATAAACTAAGGGAGGAGGAAGTTAGGGTATGATATAAGTAACTATTGGCAGAAAGGTGGGCTAGTGCAAGTATGAGTAGGGAAGGGGTTGAAGAGGGTTGGAATAGTTTTAAAAATGCAGTATTAGTATGGGGGCAGAGGTTTGTGGCTATAGGAGGGTGGGTGCAGGAGGAAAGAAGGGTGATTGGTGGAATGATGAAGTAAAGGGTGTGAAAAAGAGAAAAAGGTAGTTTACGAGAGGTTTTACAAAGCCAGAAGTTTTATAAGAAGAGCAGAGTATATGGAGAGTAAAAGAAAGGTGAAGAGAGTGGTGAGAGAGTGCAAAAAGAGAGCAGATGATAGAGTGGGAGAGGCACTGTCAAGAAATTTTGATGAAAATAAGAAAAAAATTTGGAGTGAGATAAACAAGTTAAGAAAGCCTAGGGAACGAATGGATTTGTCAGTTAAAAACAGAGTAGGGGAGTTAGTAGATGGGGAGCTGGAGGTATTGGGTAGATGGTGGGAATATTTTGAGGAACTTTTAAAAGTCAATGAAGAAAGGGAGGCAGTAATTTCATGCACTGGCCAGGGAGGTATAACATCTTTTAGGAATGAAGAAGAGCAGGATGTGAGTGTGAGGGAGGTGCGTGAGGCATTATGTAAAATAAAAGGGGGTAAAGCAGCTAGAACTGACGGGATCATGACAGAAATGTTAAAAGCAGGGGAAGGGGGGATATAGTGTTGGAGTGGTTGGTATTTTTGTTTAATAAATGTATGAAAGGTACCTAGGGATTGGCAGAGAGCATATATAGTTCCTTTATGTAAAGGGAAGGGGGACAAAAGAGACTGTAAAAATTATAGGGGAATAAGTTTACTGAGTATACCAGGAAAAGTGTATGGTAGGGTTATTATTGAAAGAATTAGAGGTAAGACAGAGAGTAGGATTGCAGATGACCAAGGAGGCTTAAGAGTGGGTAGGGGATGTGTAGATCAAGTGTTTATATTGAAGCATATATGTGAACAGTATTTAGATAAAGGTAAGGAAGTTTTCATTGCATTTATGGATTTAGAAAAGGCATATGATACAGTGGATAGGGAAGCAATGTGGCAGATGTTGCAAGTATATGGAATAGTAGTAAGTTACTAAAAACTGTAAAGAGTTTTTATGAGGATAGTGAGGCTCAGGTTAGGGTGTGTAGAAGAGAGGGAGATTATTTCCAGGTAAAAGTAGGTCTTAGACAGGGATGTGTAACATCACCATGGTTGTTTAATACAGTGGACCCCCGCTTAACGATCACTTCCCAATGCGACCAATTATGTAAGTGTATTTATGTAAGTGCGTTTGTACGTGTATGTTTGGGGGTCTGAAATGGACTAATCTACTTCACAATATTCCTTATGGGAACAAATTCGGTCAGTACTGGCACCTGAACATACTTCTGGAATGAAAAAATATCGTTAACCGGGGGGTCCACAGTATATTTATTGATGGAGTTTTAAAAGAAGTAAATGTTAGGGTGTTGGGGAGAGGGGTGAGATTAAGTTATGGGGAATCAAATACAAAATGAGAGTTGACACAGTTACTTTTGCTGATGATAATGTGCTCATGGGAGATTCTAAAGAAAAGTTGCAAAAGTTAGTGGGCGAGTTTGGGAGGGTGTGTAAAGGTAGAAAGTTGAAAGTGAACATAGATAAGAGAAAGGTGATGAGGGTATCAAATTATTTAAATAAAGAAAAATTGGATATCACATTGGAGAGAGGGAGCATGGAAGAAGTGTATGTTTTCAGATATTTAGGAGTTGACTTCTCAGTGGAGGGGTTTATGAAGGATGAGGTTAACTATACAATTGACGAAGGAAAAAAGGTGAGTGGTGCATTGAGGTATATGTGGAGACAAAAAACGTTATCCATGGAGGCAAAGAAGGGAATGTATGAAAGTATAGTAGTACCAACACTCTTATATGGGTGTGAAGCTTGGGTGGTAAATGCAGCAGCGAGGAGACGGTTGGAGGCAGCGGAGATGTCCTGTTTAAGGGCAATGTGTATGTAAATATTATGCAGAAAATTCGGATGTGGAAATTGGAGAAGGTGTGAGTTAATAAAAGTATTAGTCAGAGGGCAGAAGAGGGTGTTGAGGTGGTTTGGTCATTTAGAGAGAATGGATCACAGTAGAATGACTATGGAAAGCATATAAATCTATAGGGGAAGGAAGCGGGTAGGGGTCGTCCTCGAAAGGTTGGAGAGAGGGGTAAAGGAGGTTTTGTGGGTAAGGGCTTGGACTTCCAGCAAGCTGCTGAAGCGTGTTAGATAGGAGTGAAATGGAGACGAATGGTCTTGGGACCTGACGATCTGTTGGAGTGTGAGCAGGGTAATATTTAGGAAGGGATTCAGGAAACCGGTATTTCATATAGCCGGACTTGAGTCTGGAAATGGGAAGTACAATGCCTGCACTTTAAAGGAGGGGTTTGGGATATTGGCAGTTTGGAGGGTATGTTGTGTATCTTTATATGTTTATGCTTCTAGACTGTTGTATTCTAGCACCTCTGCAAAAACAGTGATAATGTGCTGAGTGGGTGAAAGTGTTGAATGATGATGAAAGTATTTTCTTTTTGGGGATTTTCTTTCTTTTTTGGGTCACCCTGCTCTCGAGTGGGAGACGGCCGACTTGTTGAAAAAAAAACAATACCTACAAACAAAACTTAAAAAAAAATTTACAGGAAGGAAACAAAGTGAATAAGAAACTAGCCATCTAGGCAGCATAATCTAATCCATCATATAAGACACACCTATGTATTAGCCTTACTCTAATTTTAGGAAAGGTTAATGAGTCTGAATATCTCTCACTGAGAATTGTAGTTTAAAAAAAAAATAAGTTTCTTGATCAAATTATACAAAATAAATAGGGGCCCACCACATCTTCACTAAGCAACCATATACTGAGAGGCAAGAAGGTTGCTTGAGGGAGCCTGGTAAAGCCTACTGTACCAATGTGTATTGTGTAGCTGACAGTTTTCCTCCTCCCCCTCTCCTTCTCTACCATTAAGCATGACATTATAAGTCCTTCATACATAGATTATAACCACTGTACAAATAGCTTTAAGTTTTCTGATTGATGAAAAAAAATATTCGCAAGAAATCATCAAGAACCTAGAGCCAGAAAAAAAATTATCAAGTCAAAATTCTAATATTCCTACTTGGGACATGACCAACAATCAAAAGCATAATATATCTTTACCTGGAATATTAACAATTAATAATAATGAACAAAATTTGTGAAAGCAATTTATAATCAATATTTTTATGTTTATATTTTACACCAACATACCTGTGACAGTGAATTAGATGCGGTGATATAGCGAGAGTTATTGCAGCCAAAAAGTTCCCGTCGAAGCAGATTCCCATCATATTCTAGAAAGGTCAGGTGCAAATTTCGAAAAAATTCTACATGCTTATTCTTTACCTTCATTTCTTTGGCGAGTTCCAGTGAATGGCCTGAAAAATGAAAGATAAATATGAACAATTTGATATTAACCCTTTCAGGGTCGACAGGCCCTCTCAGAGACTTGTTCTCAGGGTCGGCCAAATCTTTAAAAAAAAAAAAAATATTTTTTTCTTATGAAAAGATAGAGAATCTTTTCCCGATCATAATGACACCAAAAGTATGAAATTTGATGGAAAACACGGAATTATGCTCTCGCGAAGTTAGCAGTCTCGACGATGTTTATGCATTGGCGATTTTCCCACTTTGAGCCCTATTTTCAGCCAATTCAGTGTACTTGTCGACAAAAATCATAACTATTTCGCTAGAACTCCATTTTTTATATCGAATGAGTACAAGAAACGACCCATTTACCGATTTCAACTATCCAATACAGTGGTCAGAATTTAGCAATTTTGCCAATTTCACACAAATTTCAAAAGATGCCAATTTCCGAATAGGGTCCAGAATAAACAAGAAAGACATTCCTGGCACTAAAATAATATTTCCTCTGTTCATTAGTCATGTTTCCATGCCTCTCTTACATTCTTTTGCTTTCCACTTTGAATTTTTATTCTCACAAAAAAATAGATTTACTGTTATGCAGACTACTGCATTGGTGTAGAAATGGTATAAATAATATCAGTGCACTTGTGAAAGAATATTAGACTCACCAGTTGACGTGTATTGGATGCATAGCATGATTTGTTTACTTTCGAACTTTGGTAAAAAACGAACATTTCTGCTACTTTGAGCTCAATTTCAAGGTACTTTTCTTTGTAAAACCAGTCAAAATCATCTCAATTTCTGTAATATATCTTCCATTCTATAAAATGAGATGAGGAAAACTAGAATACAACAATAAATACCATACGAAAATGCAGTGCAAAGTCGCTGTTTTAATCCAAAAACACGGTCAAAGTTTTTTTTTTCTCATTACGCACTGTTTGCTGCAGGATTTTTTTTATACCGTGCACAATGACCACATAGACCCATTCTTTCACATGTAGGCCTACCAGCTTTCTCTCCCTAGATTTGAGGGCACTAGAATTTAGGCGTACTAATACATACGTCAAAAACCCTGGCTCGTAAGCCGTACTACTGCGGCCAAAACCCTGAAAGGGTTGACCCTTTGACTGTCGCAAGCCCCTTTCTGAAACTGTCATTCTATGTTGCAAATTTTTGAAAAAAAAAAAAAAAAAATTCTTATGAAATGATAAAGAATCTTTTCCCAATGGTAATGAAAACTCACGGAATTACGCTCCTGCGAAGTTAGCGGTCTTGGCGACATATACACATCGGAGATTTCGCCGACTTTGAGCCCTGTTTTTGGCCAATTCCGTTGACCACTCTCATAGCTATTTCTTTAGAACTCCATTTTTTCTATCAATTGAGATAAAAGAAAACCATTACCAATTTGAATCCCATAAAGTATCAATGGCAATTGGCCAATTTCACGGCAAATTAAATTTCAATTTCAAAATAGGGTCCAGAATAAACAATGTAGACATTCTTGGCACTAAAATAACATATCCTCTGTTCATTTGGTCATTCTCTAGGACCCCTCTTATATTACTATTGCTTTTCTACAGTGGACCCCCGGTTAACGAACTTTTTTATTCAAAAGTAGTGTTCAGTGCCATGTACTGCCGAATTTTTCCCATAAAGAATATTGTGAAGTAGATTAGTCCATTTCAGACCCCCAAACATACACGTACAAACGCACTTACATAAATACACTTACATAATTGGTCGCATTTGGAGGCCTCGTTAACGGGTGTCACTGTTATTTTGATTTTTATTCATACAAAAAATACAAAATTTACTGTTATGCATACTACTGCATTACTGTAAAAATGATATAAATAATATCAGTGCACTAGTGAAAGAATATTAGACTTCCCAGTTGACGTGCATTGGACGTGTGGTGTGATTTGCTTACTCTTGAACATTGGTAAAAATCGAACATTTCCACTACTTTGAGCTCAATTTCAAGGTCGTTTTCATCGTGAAACTAATCAAAATCATCTCTATTTCTGCAATATGCTTTCCATTTTATCACGTGAGACCATGAAAACGAGAATACAGCGATAAATACTATGGGAAAATACACCTCAAAGTCGGCGTTGTAATCCAAAAAAACGATCAGTTTTTTTTTCTCATTATGCACTGCATGCTGCAGGATTTTTTTTATGTGGTGCACACTGACCCATTCTCTCACATGTGGGCCTACCACCTTTCTCCTGCTTGATCTGAAGCCGCTAGAATTATTCAGTATATACACGACCGAAACACTGGCTCGTAAGACATATATATACGACCAAAACAGTCAAAGGGTTAAACTTGTAAATCTCTAAGCCTCAAATCCTGTTGTTGAAGTCTCTTTAATATATACAATATAAACTACTGTATCAGCAAAGTATAATATAACTGTTATTATTATGTCTTTTACTCAACGGCGATCTCCCACCAAGGCAGGATGACCCAAAAAAAAAAGCACATTCACCAATATTCACTTAACTGCTCTTTCCAGAAGTGTGCTGACATCATAATCAGACCACCTCTCCAACTGCAGCATCCCTACCTCTCCTTCAGAGTGCAGGAAATGCCCTTCCCAACTCCAGGACTCAAGTCTGGTTAACCAGTTTTCCCTAAATTCCCTTGTAAAATTTACCCTTCTCACACTACAACACATCCATAAAAAAAGCTAGTCTCCATTCACTCCTGTCTAATATGCTCACACAAGCCCATTGGATGCTCTTGTACAGTGGACTCCCGGTATTCGATGGCATCAGTATTCGATACATCCGGTATTCGATGCATTATATTGCAAAAATTTTGCCTCGGTATCCGATCGAAAACCCGGTATTCGATACGATTCGCATGAGACGTGTCCACGTGTGGCTTAAACTGCCCCGTGTGTGCCAGTGTTTACAAGCCAGCCAGTGTGCACGCATCTAAGGATACATTCAGTACATTCCACATTATCACTGTTTTTGGTGCTTGTTTCTGCAAAATAAGTCATCATGGGCCCCAAGAAAGCTTCTAGTGCCAACTCTTCGAGAAAAAAGGTGCTAATGACTATTGAAATGAAGAAAGAGATAATTGCAAAGTACGAAAGTGGAGTGCGTGTGTCGGAGCTGGTCAGGTTGCATAATAAACCCCAATCAACCATCTCTACTATAGTGACCAGGAAAACGGCAATCAAGGAAGCTGTTTTTGCAAAAGGTGCAACAGCGACCGCAATTGTTAGAAAATGTTGAGAGACTGTTATTGGTTTGGATAAATGAAAAACAGATAGCAGGAGATAGCATCTCTCAAGCGATCATTTGTGAAAAGGCTAGGCAGTTGCATGACGATTTGGTAAAGAAATTGCCTGCAACTAGTGCTGATGTGAGTGAATTTAAGGCCAGCAAAGGTTGGTTTGAAAGATTTAAGAATCGTAGTGGCATACATAGTGTGATTAGGCATGGTGAGGCTGCCAGTTTGGACCAAAAAGCAGCTGAAAAATATGTGAAGGAATTCAAGGATTACATAGACAATGAAGACTTGAAACCTGAACAAGTGTTTAATTGCGACAAAACAGGCCCGTTTTGGAAGAAAATGCCAAACAGGGGCCCCCCATTACTCAGGAGGAAAAGGCACTCCCAGGACATAAGCCTATGAAAGACAGGCTTACTCTTCTCATGTTTTGCCAATGCTAGTGGTGATTGCAAAGTGAAGCCTTTATTGGGTATCCTGAAACTCCCAGAGTGTTCAGGAAAAACAATGTCCTAAAAGGGTAATTTGAGTGTGCTGTGGAGGGCAAACAGTAAGGCATGGGTCACTAGGGGCTTTTTCTATGACTGGTTACACCATGCATTTGCCCCCACTGTGAAAAAAATTTCCTAATTGAAAAAAATTAGACCTTAAATGCCACCTGGTATTAGACAATGCCCCTGGTCATCCTACAGACTTGGCAGAGCGACTTTCTGGGGACATGAGCTTCATTAAGGTCAAGTTTTTGCCTCCTAATACCACTCCTCTCCTACAGCCCATGGACCAGCAGGTCATTTCCAACTTCAAGAAACTGTACACAAAAGCTGTTTCAAAAGTGCTTTGTAGTGACCACAGAAACTCAACTGACTCTAAAAGAGTTTTGGAAGGATCACTTTAATATCCTGAATTGTATAAACCTTATAAGTATGGCTTGGGAGGGAGTGACTAAGAGGACCTTGAACTCTGCTTGGAAAAAACTTTGGCCAGAATGTGTAGACAAAAGGGATTTTGAAGGATTTGAGGCTAACCCTGAGAAGCCTATGCCAGTTGAGGAATCCATTGTGGCATTGGGGAAGTCCTTGGGGTTGGAGGTTAGTGGGGAGGATGTGGAAGAGTTGGTGGAGGAGGACAATGAAGAACTAACCACTAATGAGCTGCTAGATCATCTTCAACAGCAAGAGGTCACACCTGAGGAAACTGCTTCAGAGGAGGGGATAGAGAAATTGAAGAAGTTGCCTACTTCACAGATTAAGGAAATGTGTGCATTGTGGCTTAAAGTGCAAACCTTTTTTGATGACAATCACCCTAACACAGCTATTGCAAGTCGTGCTGGTGACTATTACACTGACAATGTTGTGAAACACTTTAGGAATGTCATAAAGGAACGGGAGGTACAGGCCACTATGGACAGATATGTTGTGCGACAGAAGTCCAGTGACTCTCAAGCTGGTCCTAGTGGCATTAAAAGAAGGGAAGTAACCCCGAAAAAGGACTTGCTACCTCAAGTCCTAATGGAAGGGGATTCCCCTTCTAAACACTAACACCTCTCCCCTCCTCCCATCCCATCAATCATCACCAGATCTTCATTAAAGCTAAGTGTCAATTATTCTATTGTTATTGTTGTTATTGTAATTATTCTATTGCATTAAACTTAATATTTCATGTAGTAAAATTTTTTTTTTTCATACTTTTGGGTGTCTTGCACAGATTAATTTAATTTCCATTATTTCTTATGAGGAAAATTGATTAGCTGAGT